AAATTGTTAGCGCTACGCGCATGCGATCCAGTAAAGGAAATTCTTGATTGCTTTGTCACATGGTGTTTGCCGTTTCTCCGGCTGTCTCACTGACATCTATCCTAACAGCCTTTCCAACACAGAAACTTCACTTCCTGTAAAGTCGACCTCCCTTCTTTCAACCTAAACTGACTGAAAGAAAATTGCTACCATAAACACAGTTGAAAGATTAGACACTATTTCAACATATACAGTCCACAGAGGATTAATAGCTATAATCCATAAGGAGGTTCTAGAAATAAAAAATCCAATAACTCAGAAGCCAAAAGATAAAGAGCCAGACTAGATAAACCACAGAAGGAGAAGCACCCATGGCCAAAGCATTCCACTTTTAGATTGTTATTTTTCTAAATGTGTTTGTGAACATCGGTACAAAGATATTCAGTCAGTGTTGTTTATAAAAGTGAAAACCAGGGCCCTCCCTGGTAACACAGCAGGTTAAAGCACAGCACTACAAAGCTGCCCCTAGCACTTCCCAGGCCAGGGAGCTGACCCACGTGGAGCGGCAGACCTCTCCTTTCTCCCCACTGCTCCCCACAGCGGGGAGCAGTGTGCTTTGTCGATCTGCCTGTTCTGCTCCCCACCCTGTCTCTGGTGAATCCTCTCACTGCCCCTGCACCTCTGGCCTGTACCCTGTATGCACAAATAAATAATCTTTAAAAAAAAAAGTGAAAAATTGGTACAGTGTAGTAATGCCCAGTATACACGTCCATCCACTAACAGGAATAAGGCCAAGTAAGTTGTAAGACACCAGGCTATATATACAGTGTGCAACTATTAAGGAGAATAAGGTAGTCCTGTAAGCACTGGTATGGAAATAGGTATGTTTTCACTAATAGAAAAGGTAAGCCAGAACAATATGTACAATTGCCTGGGAGAGTAGACTGTAGTGTGATTCCTGTCAAAACAAAAGGAAGCTAAATGTATGTGCAGGTAACAGACCTGTGAATTCATAGAAAAAGATTCTGGCAATCTGTGCCTCAGACTTTTCATGGGGTTTATCTCCAAATGAAAAAGGATTGATGGGGAAGGTTAACAGGAATTAAACTTTTTTCCCCTATATATTCCAATACTGTTCAAATTATTCCTGTGGAATACATCCCCTTCATTACTAGAGTTCTCAAGGACTAAACACTCGAAACTTATATTTTCTATAAAAGCAAAAAGTGGTTGAAGCAGCCCAGGACTCGGGTAGCTGAGGTTGGTTTGGCTCTTGTGGGAGCTTTAGTCCATGGCTTATGAATCAAAGACAATTCCTCAATTAACAAATCCCCAAGGCCAGAGCTTCTTTGATCACGTTGGGCTGCTGGGAGAGGAGATCCGGTCTCGGCCCAGTCCCCTGGTCCAGAAGGTTCTGCTCAGGTCCCACCCAGTGTGACCCACATACTGGAAGGAGGCTCAGATGTGCTGGCCCCACACCTGAAGGAGACTGAGAGAGACAGGGAAGGGTTGGTATTGCAAGGGGCACAGGCTGAAGCGGGCAGGGGCGGGCCTTGGGACCCCAGGGAACTTCCAGGGCTGAAGAGATCTGCAATCTCTGATGACCAAGAGTCAATCTCCTCTCAACTCAAGCAGACAAGCCCAGAATTCGTTGTCTAAGAAACCTTTATCTGTGGGCTGGTGACAGAGCAGCACAGGGAGCAAGCCACAGCCCCTTCCGCTAGAGCGCCATCCTGGCCAGGGAGTGACCACAGGGTGCGGCAGACCTCTCCTGTCCCCCGCTGCTCCCCTCAGCCCTGTGTTTCAGGTTTCAGTACAGCTGCCTGTTCTGCTCCCCAGCCTGTCTCTGGTGAATCCTCTCCCCTGCCCCGCCCCCTCTGGTGTGCATGCATAAATAAATAAATCTTAAAAAAAAAGATCAGATCTACTTAAAAAAAAAAACCCTTTGCAACTGAGATGGAAAAATGCACAAAAATATGTAAACATAAACTAATACCAAAAAAACCTTTATTTACAAAACTTTATTTAAGAGAAGTAAGTTATGTCCTTTTCAATCTATCCATGAAAAGTGTGATGATCAACATATTTACAGAATAATTAAGTTTCTCCCATACACAGGCATTTCTTTGCTAGGCATAAAGAGATCCAGACCTAAATTGCTGGATCATTGAAAATCAATCAATAATGCAGACAAGTGATCTCTGACAGTATACTCTGACACCGGGCATGAGTTCACTGAAAGAACTCTTCATATGTAGATGTGGAGGTAATATACTTTGCAGGAGGAGTAAAACAAGGCACATTTTACCAGGTAAAATGTGATCACGTTCCATAAATTACTGAAAAACATTGAACACATTGCCTCCATTTCCATGAAGCCCGTGTGGTGCATGGGACTATTTCAGATCTGGACAAACATCATTTTCCTACTGCACCAGCGGGGATCATCATCTTTATGAAAAGCACTCGTTTTTATGTAACTCCCCCTAATGGGGAGAGTTGTTTTTCTTTTCGATGAAATTTTCTGCAGCTTTGTTTTTTAACTCTTTGTCTAAATAAAAAGTGGGGGATTCTCTTTCTAGAATGGACAGAAATTCTAGAAAAATGTCCCTTCTCCTTCGTTGTTGCAAAGTATTATGTCCACCTCCTAGTGACTCCAAATAATCGATTTTATAATAAAATCCTTTTTTCCATATTTTACAAGTCGTGCTTATTAGCTAGAGAAAATAAACCAAAAAAAGGGAAATAAAGAAATATAAGCAAGCAAAAAGAAAGAAAAGAAAATTACCTAAAATTCTGACTCCTTGAAACCATCCCGTTAACATGTCATTTTGTTGAAATGTTAACGTGTTGTCTTGAAATGTAGCCGACCGCCTTGTTTAAATGTGTACAGGCCTTTTCTGACAAAAGTCATTTCCTATAATATGCATAGTTTTCTTTACCATTTATTTTTTATTTAACAATCCACTAGACACATTTCTCTATAGTGTTAAACATTCTCCCACATCATTTTTAGTTTAGTTCCTTGGGACGATCAGTCACCTTGGTCGTTTTCGATTCTTTGCTATCTTGGACAAGACAGGGAGTATCTTTGTTATCAAACCCTTCTTCCCATCTGTCAGATTTCTCTCTCTTTGAAAGCATGTAGCCACACAGTTTAAGCAGTCACTTAACATTGAGCTAATTAAAGATGAAGAATGAATCCTTTTGGGATTCACTAGAACAAAGAAATGAAAATGCCTTTGTTTTTATTTTCCAAATTACGGTCATGCTGTTGGGGGTATGGAGTGGGTCTTGTGAATGTCTGACTGCAGACATTTCTTTTAATTTTAAACTTTTGTCTGCATACCACCTTAGTACTCATTCCAGGTGTACCTGTGTTTAAGAAATTGTGATCATCAGTCATCAAAATTAAAGTGATTGTATTGGAAGAATGTGTTATAAATGTTAACTAAGGTGCATTTGTTTTCATCAAAAGCAGCATCTCTCTTGCTTTCCAGTTTCCTTGATAATCAAAAAAAAAAAAAAAAAATTATGCTCTTTGCTTGGCCAGACTCTGCTTGGCATTCTTGATACTGACTTTGCTTGTGGACAGCATCTTTGATAGACAGTTTTGGAGCGTGTCAAAATCATCAACTAAGTAAAACAGCCCAGATCTGAACAAAGTTTCCCCCCTTCTCCCCCCCCTCCTGACCATGGCCCCAGGCCACACTGGACTCAAGTGAAAATTTCTGGCACTTCTGCTTTTGGGAAATGAACAGATCTCACATGACACACATGGATCGATCACACATGGTTGCAGAAAATACTTAAGAAAAAATTCTGCGAATACCACTCAGATCCCACCACGCTAGTTAGTTCTGGGGTGGCCGATTCCGCTGCTGCTCAGCCTACATCATAAAGAGGCCTGAGGTTAAATTCCACTTGGAGAGCAGCAGAGCAATGCCCATCAGGGAAAACTGCGGATAAAAACTTGCAGAGTAGCGGAAGAGGAGGAGTTAGGAGGAGGCTGAAACAACAGCAGTATTTAAAGTGAGACTATTGTTATTTTTATGAATTTCACCAACTGCTGACGGATGGGTTCTTTGTTTTAGTATTTTATCAGTTGGATTAAAAGCCAGTTTCTCACCCTGGGCACCATTGACATTTTGGACCAGATAATACTTGGGGGAGGGGGGTTGAGGGGAGGGGAGAGAACGGGGAGTAAAGGAAGGAAGGTTCTGTGCATTGTAGCATGGCCCATGGCTACCATGGCCTCTACCCACTGGATGCCAATAGCACCCCCATCCCAGCTGTGACAACCGTAAATGTCACGATAATCCCCATTGGGAACCGCTGGCTCATTATCCTGAATACTGAAAAACTGCAGGCTCAGGCCAAGAACCATAATGTCATGTGCCATTTTATTTATAGATCAGTGTGGGTGGAAGCAGTGCCAGCCACCCTCAAGCTGTTAGGCAAGACTTGCAGTTCAGTAGAGACCTACACTCGCTGACACCGAGTATTCTCTGCCAAAAACATAACCCCGTGTGAACACTGCACCAGGTCTCACTGGTCCCGGGGACCCGCTGCCTGCTACATCCTGTAGTGGCCATGAAAGTGGCCTTTCTGTTGTGGATGCATTCATCTCAAGAACCTCCAAATCTGTTTTTGAAAGGTCTGTGGAAGGTAAGTACTGAGCGGTCCAAGCTTGCCCCTGTCCTGAACAGGATCTTCTAAGATGCTTTAGGAGATCTCCGGCTGCAGCACGGCCCACACGCTAACACTCTACCTAGCTCACTTGAGAAGCACCAGCCCTAAGTCATATCCCCTCTTCCGAGATGATTCGACTTGACCTCCTTGCACTCACTCCCTCTTTGGCTGGTTTAGCTAACTTTATGATTTGCTTTTCATAAAGTTACTGAATTCCCTGCTTTTTAAACCTCTCTCTGGCTTCTGCTAAGCTGCCATCTTCTCCTAAGCCTCCCCATTGAAGTGTGCATTGAATAATGGAAGTTGCCAACATCTTGACCTTCTTTCAGATATGACAATGGAGGATGTTCGGGAATACGAGAAAAACATGCATGAACAAACCAACATAAAAGTTTGCAATCAGCATTCCTCCACTGTGGATGACATAGACAGCCATGTCCAAACAAGTGTATGTAGAATTTTTAAAACATGTTGCCCACCCTTTACCAAATGTACACATAAACCGACCTGTATTACAATAGAGTGGATGGCCGTCCTCACCCTTCCACAAAACATGTCTTGTCCCAGGGGCTGTTAGTGAAGAATTTGGGGCAGGGGGAGGGGGGACAAGCGTCTGAGCGGGTCAGGGTCACCTCATACTTCCAGATATTTTGATTCTTTAAAGCCAACTGACTAGGGGTTGTTTCAGTCATCAAACCACGGACGTGAAGAGTGGAGACCTTTCTGTATGTCCTGCACCATGATAGACGGGTGAAAACAGAGGTCATAGGAACACAAGACTAGCGTGTCAGTAACTTTTAAAGACATGGTTAACACACAGTGATTCATTCAAGGGACAGCTTCAGGCTCATCTGGAATTTTAGGTTTCTTTGCATTTGCTTTGAAATGTTTTCTTTGGCTCTATATAGCTGTTTTAGTCAATCAGTTTCTTTTTGCTTAAGTTAATCTCAAAATGCAACTCCCTTCTACACATACTGGCTGAACAGGGAATGTGCCGTGAGCTGGGACCATGTTGGCCAGTAATAGGCCTAGTCTGGGACTTAAGATAAGCTTTAAAGAACCTCAAGTTATTTAGCGGCACATCGGAAATTGAGAGCTGACTCTATGGTAGAAGCCAGCTTAAATACAGTTATCTCTCAATTATTCATCCTACTGCAGGGGAGACCCAGACAAGATAGGAAATGTAATCACCACATTGTTTCTATATATCTTTGGTCAAAACTGTGATCTCTTTGGGTGCCTTGTCTGTTAGCTCAGGGCCTAGAATAATAAATGTTCAATTATTTCAAAGTAGGTAATTTAGTTACAGAAAAGCAAAAGATAGCCGTTGTTGTAAATGGATGCTTTAGAACCTTTTGCAGCACCTCGGCCTTTTTTAATAAGCGTTTACAGCATGTCTTTGGAATGTGAGCGAGCCACCAGGTACAGGGTCTGCTTGGATGCATGTGACTGCCTGCCTTCGAATGACCCTAACTCTTCTCCTGGTTTTGCATGCGTTTCATTACATTTGCAGGCATTTATTTAGCTAAGACTTAACTGAGGTTCTCTGTGTAGACCAGTTCCGATAGGACTTACCCAGTTAGCTGCTCCGTAAGGAAATTGGCCTTGAATTTCCATCACTTTCAACTACCTTTTCTTTTCAGGAATGTTGGACACGTTTCTCCCTCCAACCCTTCCACCGCTCCTACCCTACCACACCCCTCACCTCCTACAGCCTTGACTCTCTGAAAACTGCTTGCTCTAATATGACCAAACAAAGGATTCAGAGGATTCTAACTAAAGGATTCTGAGCCCCCCCTTTTTCATTCTGAGTTCTCGTGGCTCACAGATTAAGGCTCTTTGCTTGATCTTCTTTTGAGTTGACTGTGTTACCATCTAATGCCGGTTTACTGACTCGCCAGTGATCCTCAGAGGGCTCTCCACGAGGAAGTCCATGCATCTCCTGCAATGCAGTTGTTGGGCCTTCATGACTTGAGGGTACCTGCTTGCCCAGAAGTTACAAAAAGAGATTATTTGAATGCTCACGACATTTCCAAATAATCTTTGGGAGTTCATCAAATTGGAGATCATCTGTTTTTCCATTGTCTTCTCTGTCCTATTGAAAAATCAATTGAAACGAAGAGACTGATGTCCATGGCAAATAAAAATTTCATGGGTGCTCAATAAAATTTAAGCCATCGACTTCAGTAGGAACTAATTAGATTGAAATTATGCAAAATTTTCACCCATGAATACACATAACATCCATGCAAAAAGGAAATAACAGTCTCTTTTTCAATTGAATAGTTTCAATGCCTTCAAGGAAGGGAACTTCTAAGAGACTCTGGAAGGGAATGTAAAATCAAAATTGTGTATGTTGGGTGATTTCTGCCCCCTGCTGGCTATGTGGAGTAAAGTACTATTCTGCCACCTGTTTAGAAAGCCTAATTTTTCAAAGATGATATCCATTTATATAACAGAAACATACCCCATTTGAGAGTTTTAATTTTATTTGAAAGTAAATCTCTTTTAAAAAAAAACTTAAGCTCATTTCTTAGCCTTTTTAACAGTCTTGGTATTTTTTTAAATGTGCTAAAAATGGTAGGTTTAGATATTTTAAATGGTAAGTTTACAGGTAAAATTTTTCTTTTCTTCTGAGTATCACATATCAACTCTGTCATCATCTTCTATTTCCTTTGTGAAAACTTTTCCCTTTCAGAAAATTTTAATAATTGTGCCCAGGAAATTCTCTTAAAGATTTTGCTTCTAAAAAAACATTTTTGATTTGCTGATATGTTCTGGTATGACCCACTCTGTGTATAATTTAATGATGTATATACCACATTATGAATATTCATTCCGTAATTACCATTTTGGATGTGACCATATTGGTTCATGTTAGTTTATGCAACATCATCTGTGAAGGTTCAACTGTTAAGTTCATGGAAGGGGACAAGATGAGTCTCTAGGGAGCTGGAACAGATGTACAAGATCCATTGGCAGCAGATTTCATCTTTGCTCAAGGACAAGGCCTGAGACCTCCACTTGGTGCTTTTTCTAAGGAGCCCAGTCAACTGTTTTTCCTGTTACCAACAAATTGAAAAAATTGCAGAGGTCTTCCTGCTGGCTTAGGGGTTAAGTCTCAGCACTATCACTCCTAAGATCTGAGTTCGATCCCCAACCAGGGAGCTGATCCACGTGGCACAGCAGACCTCTCCTGACCCGCCCGCTGCTCTCCTCAGCAGTGTACTTCAATAGAACCTCCTATTCTGCTCCCTACTCTGTCTCTAGTGAGTCCTCTCACCCCCACACCTCTGGCCTACACCCCTGTTTTTCTAAAAAAAAAATTTTTAATTGCAAAGGGTATCAGGGATAGCCAGATTGAAAGTGATTAATAATAGCCGTAACAGCACCAATAATGAAGTTTTGGAGGACAAGGAATGAAATATCAAACCCTAAAAAGCAAATAAACCTGAAAAAGAAGTCATTATTATAGCATAGTAATAGAGATTGGATATATTTACATATAAAAGATAGTGTATATAATACAGTAAATATATTTTTAAAAGATTTACCTTTAATTTTCTTTTTCTTTTCATTTGATAAGAATATTTCAATTATTTAGAAAATCTATAATGTAGAACATGCCTATTAAATAAGGCATTACTGAATTTATTTCTTGAACTCCAAATAATGCTTTGTTTTCTTTTAAATAAAATTCTCATCAAATGACCCTATTCTTTTATTCTCTGTTCTTTGTTTTCTTGAGAAATGGCTTTTTTTTTTTTTTTTGGCCTTTCATCTAACTAGCAGGGTTTGTTGTCTTTTAAGCTGAAGTAATATAATATAATATAACACAGCATGTAAGCAACCTGAGTTGGATACACAATCAGGAAAACAGTAATTCCCCCCAGAATACACTAAATAAAAAGATAGCATGTTGAGAAATTCTGGTGATTTGCCTATTTATCCTAGAAAGTTATACTTGTATTTCTATAATCTAAAGTAGACTATATGTATCTGTTTTTGAGCCATCCATTGTTTTGACGACCTTTTCTTTGTAGAAAAGGTAACGCGGTTGAATAACAACTCCATACACACATGGCCACAGCACCCCCCCACACACAGGGCCTCCAGCCGGTCTGTACTCACCTGCTAAGTTCTTACTCAGAATTTTTATTAAATTTCTAGATGAAGAACACTTTGGAAATTTGGGGGTGGACATTCATAAAGGGATTTTTTTTTCCCAGAGGTTTGCCTCAGTAAAAGAAAAAGAAAAAAAAACCGCAAGGTTTAGCATTTCCATGGCAATTTGGCTGTATCCTCTGGAGAGGCCCTCTGTGACGGGATTCCTGTAGGTCCTTTAAAACCTGGCACAGAACTGACTCCCTCTGCATCTCTTAAATAGCCACTCATTTTTCTCTCTGCTTGTTTTCCTCAAAGACATGACAATGGATGAAGTCCGAGAGTTTGAGCGAGCCACTCAGGAAGCCACCAACAAGAAAATCGGCGTCTTTCCACCTGCAATTTCTATCTCCAGCATCTCCCTGCTTCCTTCGTCAGTCCGCAGCGCCCCTTCCAGTGCTCCGTCCACACCTCTCGCCACAGACGCCCCAGAATTTCTGTCAGTTCCCAAAGATCGACCCCGGAAAAAGTCGGCCCCAGAAACTCTGACGCTTCCAGACCCTGAGAAGAAAGCCACCCTGAATTTACCTGGCGTCCACGCCTCAGATAAGCCATGTCGACCCAAATCAGAGTAACTTCAAATGAATATTTCATGGGGTTTTATATTTTCATTTTGGGTGTGTGTGTGTGTGCTTTTTTTTTTTTTTAAAGAATCTTCTGATAAAGAAAAAGACTGCTTTGTCACTCAAACGTCCCTTCAATCTCTGAGTGTGCATGTGGTTAAGTAATTCACCTATTAGAGTCCCTAAGTATACCACACAGCCTCATATTAGATGTAAAATGTAAGACTTGCAAAGGACAGAGGAATCTTCTGTAGCCACAGCTGGAAGCCAGGGAGGAAGTCTTGTCATTAAGCATTAAGCTTTGGATGAAGTTGGTTGGACTTTGAGGGTAAAAAAACAAAAATGTGGCATGACTTTTGTCATAGGGTGTGGTTAAAGAGTGAAGTCAATTTCCTCCCATCAAACCTGAAATTCTCAAAAATACTATTCTCAGGCATAATCTAATTGTTAAATTTTGAACTGCTCATCACCAATACTTGAATACCAAAAGTTTCTGAGATTCCTATTTTTGATTAGTCTGACTCAGGATTTGGGGCCTAATTAACTCTTTAAATTTTTTGAAAATTTTAATTATCAACCTCTAGAGGCTCCAAGTGCAATTAATGATAACTTATTTATAGCTTTCACAGCATTTAATAAAGATTCCACTTGTTCCTGTCTTTTAATAACTTTCCCCTTGTGCCCTCATGGCCTCGGAAACCTTTAAGAATTGCATAAGCGAATGTGACCCCAACGGACTGATTTTAGAATGCTTTGGTTTAGGAACCAAGAGGCCCAGATGAGGCAAACATCTTTTTTCTCTACAGACACCAAAAACTTTGACTTGTCAGCTTCTGTCATCCAATAAGATTCTCAGAATTTGCAGTTAATTGAATAGAATTCATTGACTGTTTGCCCATTCAAATGAGTTCAAGAGTAGAGTAAGCTCACTGGACTTTGAAACTGTCAGAATGTCTGGTTCGGTCCTAAAAAGGAGAATTGTCTCCCATCCACCCTCCATCCTGGTTTTACTTTTAGTAACAGCCAGACACTCCTAGGTCAATTTAGACGTCTCTGGGACGGATGGTCCATCACTGGTCTTAGAAAAGACTCATCCTCTGGCTCCTTTACTTGAAACTCAAACACTGGGAATGTCACAGAACTTAAGTAAATACTGTCGAGTGGGAGGAGAGAATGAGCAGAATTGCTGGTTCCCATTTGTAGACTCACAAAGGAAGAATGATAAAAGGTGTCATCTGTCTGATTCTCTTTTCTTCAAGCAGAGGTAGTGCCAGATTAGAAAGTTGATGGGAGACAAGACCCTTCACTAAAGGGTCTTGAACAAGAACTCTCCTTTGATCTAAAGAGAACACACACTCACCTCTGCACCTCACTGCCTTGACACGCAGAAGGAAAGGCAAGCAGAATCGAGCATTTACTTTTGTCCTCCCAGAGAGGAAGAAAACAAAATGATTGGGCAACTCTGAGGCCCCAGCTAGCCTTCCTGACCTAACCTCCAACCTCAGGAAAGGGGCCTTCCCAAAACACAGATCCCAAAGGAAACAACATAGACCAAGATCACGGTCTCCTCACAGGCTCTCAGCCAATGGACCCTGCCTGCTTCCCTCTCCGTGCTCTGCTCTCTGCATAGTGTCTTTCAAGTTGATAAACTCTCCCAAGGTGCCGGCGCTGGCCCCGTGAGCCCAGCACCAAGTGTTCTAAGTCATACGTCAGACTGTCAAGATCATTTCTTTTTATCTATAGGTTGACATTGACCTTAATAAATCAATAAATCCAGAACGCAAAGGAAACCAGTCACCAGTAACTTAGGGCAACACTGCATCTCCGCTGAGAATGACAGCCTGGTAGCAAGACTCCTTCTTTGCATGGTGTGATAGCATGATTCCTGCTCGTGGGAAAACAGTCTTTTCTCAAACCCCTTGGACTTTGCTCCCTCCCACACAGTAGTCCTAAAAATGAGAATGTTTGACTTTAGGAAGCAAAACTCTACTTTCAGAAGACACTGGCATAGCGTTTGCATTTGCTTACCATTTGCAAGCTGAAATCAGGTTGGGGTGGGATCACGACTTTCACATCCGATTGATTTTGTGCCAGTGGTTAACCATCGGCACCTAGCTTTTCCATGAACATCTTCTTTACCTTTTTGTAAAGTAACTTCTGCTATCCAGATCAACAATTCTATATGCTTTAGAAAGCGAATTTGTGAATTCCTTCTGTGAGATTTCTTTCTCTTAAAGCCAGCCTAATATCCACAGACATCAATTGCGAAGCTCTGACGATTGTATGATTCTTAGCCAACAAATGCGTGTGCTCTTCAAGTACGTTGTTTTCCTGTCTACGTGTGGTTTGTGTGCATTCAAAGGGTGGGGGGGTGCCAGTGTTCATTTAACTGCTTTGAATATTTAATCCAGTCATCATAAGGCATAAATGACTTCCAACGTTTTATCTGTCTTGAGTTTCAAATGTCATTTCACTTTCTGCCCCCCATGAATTTGTTGATTGTGGGGTGAAAACCTGCGATGAATATGTACATAGAACATTAATCATTCCTATAAAGATGGAAGTTAAGTCACTGCATGATGGAAACTTAGAAGAAAAAAGCAGAACCTTGAATTCTTTAAGCATGTTTGAGGGGAAACAGAATCTTTATCTCAGTGCCTCTGTCTGCAATGTGGAAACCTTCGCCTTTGTCCACCAAAATTGTATGATACCAGTGTAAATATATAAATAGAGTATAATAAATCAGACACCACCAGTTTTTAAGTCTCCGGTAGTGAAATTTAAATAAATAATCCATAAGCCAATGCATATTCACCCCATCTTCATCTTTGATGTCAGTGGAAACCACCACAATGACCCTGCATTTCATTAATTTGAGGGGATTTCACTTCAAAGCACCCTTGTTCACTGACTGGCACAGTATCCCGGCTCTGACTGTGCTTTTCCAGCTTAAGAAGATCTCAGTGTTTTGACCACATAAGCTTTGTCATAAGTCAGCTCTGAAGGCCATTTTGTTTTCCTATTCTGGAACTGTCATGAGGCGAAGCAGAGGAAATGCTTTAGCCACAAAGGAGGCAAGACATTTTTCTGTTACTGCCATCACAAGCAAGACAAGATGAGTTCATTTGTAAACCGATTTATAAGCCCTGTGTTACCGTGTTGCATCTGTGTGGGGAAAATGATGTTAATTTATTTGGACTTATTGATCAGTCATGTTTTTAGTTGTGAAAATAAATGTCTCAGTAACATGGTTGTGGATGTAGAATGTAGACAACTTAAAGACACAACATAGCCCCCAAAAGGAATGGTTTTCTTTCATGACACTGTCATAAACAGTGAGCTAAGAGAATAGCTTCTCGCACTTTTTGAAAAGGGATTGTTTGGTGAACACGTCACGGCTGATTTACACACGGTTTAAAATTCTACTTTCTTCATGTCTCTTCATGGTTCTGCGACTGACATTGGTTGACTTACATCAACAGGAAAGGGTCAGTTGTGACCCTTTCCCAGCCTCGTGTACTCAGATAGCCCAACAGGGAGGAGCTGACCAAGTCACCCTCAGCCCTTCTGAGCAGCTGAGTCCGTGGGTCACGTGACAATCTGCCAACTTTAAAGAACAGACTGTCTGGCGACCGCAGCTGAACCATCTTAACCAGACTCCCCGACCACTCTTGCTGAGATGGAAGGAGCAGCATCGGCTTCTTCTCTGTTCTCCCCTCAAGCAGTCTGTTTGCCTCTGAAATGTAAGTATTCAAAGTGTTTAGGAGTTAGTATAAGGAAAGGATGTGAAGATGTTGAGAACTTCTCAGACGCTGTTATTCCAACTAATTTTGTTGTTAACAAATGCTTTCAAATCTGCCTCTCTGTGTTTCTGCTTGAAATCACAAACCTGTCTGCTGATTGCAGTTTCCTTTCTGTTTCTGTCGCCAAGAGAGTCCTTGAGTTGTGCTTAGCCCGATGCCACTTTTATGTAGCTGCAAGTGTGCTGTTTTGTGTTTGCATGTCGAGCTGGGATCTCGATGGTTCACTCGTCAGTGGAGCCCTGCCACCGAGGAAGGGCGAGCTCTGCCACTCGTTGTTCCACACAGGCAAAGCAGACAGAAGTTGGTCTTCACACATGCCATCCTGTGTCATTTTATGGCTGCTTTGTGGGGTTTTTCCCCAGTTATTTATTATTGTTAATAACTTACTTTTTCTTACATTCTGTTGTAAATAAAGTACAAAGCAATCTTCTTTCCAAGTGTAGCTTCCTCTTTCTTAGCTGTTCTCAAGGGCATGTTGGCAAGTATGAACTTGTGGAGCGAGGGGAAGGAAACTACATGGAGGAAGAAGAAACAAGACAACAGCCGGTACTGAGACCCAGTTCAGAAACATGGGTGCCAGGGAGCCAGGTCAGCTGATAGGTGGATGGTAACTTCAGGGTCAGGGCCTCAATGGGAAACCCTGGGGGCAGGCTCTAACCAGTCTGGTCCAGAAATGCCCAACATGAATGCATGGTCCGGTAGTAACACACACACTTAAGCAATTCATCTGACAGGTGGCTCCCCCTCATCACAGGTGAGGCTACAGTCGGGGTGGCTAGCCAGGGAAATCAGCCCCAGAGAAAGTGTGGGAAAACAGTATTGTGGGACACCAGATTTTCACCTCCACAGGTGAAGATTGATTTATTTATGCATACAAGAACTGGGGTACAGGCCAGAGGTGCAGGGGCAGTGAGAGGATTCACCAGAGACACAGTGGGGAGCAGAACAGGTGGATCTACTGAAATACACTGCTGAGGGGGGCAGCAGGGAGACAGGAGAGGTCTGCTGCGCCATGTGGGTCAGCTGCCTGGCCGGGGATCGAACTCATGCCATGGTGGCTGTGGCCAGCTTCACAGTGCTGCACTTTAACCCGTTGTGCCACCCAGGAGGGGCTGCGACCCCTTTTTAAGGGAACCCCAAATCACTCTGAGTTGCTTGCAGCTCAGGCTGCTCCTGTTGATCACAAAAGGGGTCTCTGGGGAGGGGCAGGGTGAGGACAGAAATTCTTTGGTGCCTGTTTTCAGTCATCTGGGGGCTTCCTCTTCAATCCTGAAACAATTGTCAGCATCCAACACCACGTGCTCTGACCTCTGACTTTCCAACCACAGCTTCATATAACAGTGCGCCAGAACTGGGGTTCCTGGCCTGAAAACATGCCCCAGATCAGAGGGCACTAATCCAGTTACCCAATGTGCTTGCTTTTGTAGCCTCAGCTTCACCATCACCACGCCTCTGAATGCTCTCTTCAAAACACACAAACTGCCCACACATAGCTGCCAGAGAGTTGGGTACAGCCAGGCTGGGTGTTTATTCCTGGGGCCGGACTGTGTGGGTTATCAAATATTTAGATGCTTATGTTAAATATATAGAAGCTCGAAACTCCCCCAGTTTCCAAATGCAGCTTTTAATTACAGTGTTATCTCATTTGAGTGTTACTTTTAGACTTTGGTACACCCACATTCTCTTCTAAATAGAAATTTTGTCTCCCCTAGTGTACTTCATTTGCGGCTTTTTTTGCCTGCAGCCTCCAGCTGCACCTTGGTGTCTCAAGCATAAGTCATGTGTCCTTTCTTTAACGCTTGGCCTGGAATATCCTTTCAGACCATGTTGCTCTCAGACCTGAAGTTTGATGGCTCTGGGACAACATCAGGTCTGTGGGTGCATGTGCAGGTGTGTGGTGCGTGAGAAATACAGAGCCCCAGGCAACCCTATTTCCAAGTTTCCCTGCTAAATAATTAAATTTCTAGCATTCCCTGTGCTCACAAATGCTCCCATTCCTCTAGCATACAACCTCGTAGGATATTCCATGCAACTCTAAACATTTAACTATGTCCCTGCTCCTGGGGAAATTGGAAACAGCCTGTATTTTGCCTTAATGCTCTTGCTCCCATCCTCTCCACCCCACCTCTTATATGCGTATAAGAGGTTCTTATATGCGTATATATTTTTTTTTAAGATTTTTTTTTATACAAACAAGAGCTGGGGTACAGGCCAGAGGTGTGGGGAGGTGAGAGGATTCACCAAGACAAAGTGGGGAGAAGAACAGGCAGATTGAGTGAAGCACACGGCTGAGGGGAGCAGCGGGCCGGCCAGAGGACGTCTGCCGTGCCATGTGGGTCAGCTCCCTGGCCAGGGATTGAACTCACGATACTGTAGCTTCAGATAGCTTCATAGTGCTTAAACCCATTGCGCCATCGGGGAGGCCCCACTTATATGCATGTATTTTTTTTAAATAGCTGCTCTGGAGGGTCCTGCCAGGTGACTGCATCTGAGCAACGCTAAGGGATCAGTTTGTGGCTGTGAGCTCACAAGGCTTTCTCTCCAGACCATCCCAAAGACAGCTGTTTCTCTCAGGCGCATCTGCTGTTAGAATGGGTCATCAGGGCCCTCCCTGATGAGTTAAAGCACAGCACTGTGAAGCTACCACAGCCACTGAGGACCCACCCGCTGCTCCTCTCAGCAGTGTACTTCATCAGTCCGCCTGTTCTGCTCCCACTCTGGCTCTGTTGAATTCTCTCACCCCCCTGCACCTCTGACCTATATCCCAGTGCTGTATTCATAAATAAATAAATCTTAAAATAAAAAACCAGTCATCAGTTGTAATCCATGTTGTGCCTCTCTTTAGACCAGAGCTTAAAAATTTAGAAATATTTCCACCATTTTGAATTGCCACACTGTCACCTGAAAGTTACTCTATTTCTTTGCATTTTGTTAAAACCCATTTTCTAGGCCCAAGGGTGTGAATTTCTTTTTTTTTTTTTGACTTTACTACTTTCATTAGAATTTGCTCTTTCTTCTGTATAAGCTACATCATGGATACCTATCTCTGTACAAAATGCTGCAAGTATTTTCAATTGTTTTGTAAGCTTTTGAGAACTTACACATGTATTATTTTTCTTTTTTCTTATATGGAAAAAAGTTATCATTGAGATTAAGCAGCTAAATCATGTTGCCAGTTATGGAGGGATGGAGAAATACGAAAAATTACATAATCAAATTCAAGTATTAAGATGTTTAATTTTGCAAACTTTACTCTGTGTCAATAGATTAAGAAGGTGAAATTTCCATGGGTAATATTCAGTAATCCCTTTAAATGGGTAATGTTCAGTAATCCCTTTAAATGCATTTTCAGTCCTCCTATTAAGCAAAGTGCAATAATCATTTAATAAGCTAAACACACAAACACAAAACCTGAATGTCTTGAATTACAAAAGTGGTTGCACAGTCACCGATAGTCAAGTACACATGTCCACAATAAACAAGTAATAACAATTGTTAATAAAACAACCCCACAAGATGCTTATCTTGCCATCAGATTTTTCAACAAGACCATACCTGATATTGAAAGCATTTGAGAAGCTCTGATCTGACATGGGAAAATTAGTTCTCCTAAAATTTCACCATTAGTGTATTATAGACCCAAAGATTCTAAATCAAAAATGTCTTCCAATACAGAAGCATTTACATGAAATGTTTAGTTTGGTCAAAAACAATTATCTAAAAAAACCAGAAAATGTTAAAAGAAATTATCTTCAGCCACATTCCAACAGAATGCTGTATCTTTTTTACATCTTCTCTGTTTTAATTTTTTTTAGTTTATTTATACATATAAGAACTGGGGTATAGGCCAGAGGTGTGGGAGAGTGAGAGGATTCACCAGAGTGGGGAGCAGAACAGGCAGAGGGACTGAAACACACTGCTGAAGGGAGCAGCAGGAGGATCAGGAGAGGTCTGCCACGCCATGTGGGTCAGCTCCCTGGCCGGGGTTAGAACTTGTGGTGCAGCAGCTGCAAATAGCTTCATAGTGCTGCACTTTAACCCGTTGCCCGCCAGGGAGGGCGGGGCCCTTTTTTTTCCTTGAAAGAAACACAGATCAATTCACTGTTTTCATTGGCTCAGACTACTGTGATCTAAAAACTTTAGAATGCATGCAAAACATGTCTCTGCTATCAAGACAAAGGTGCCATGTAGATTTTACACATTAAAGAACAACAATGTAACCTACGGTGGCACAAATACATGTAACACATAAAAACCAGCTTACTGTTTTAGTCAAAAGTCAGAAAGAAAAGCGTGGTTTGCAAGTTACCTCACCTTATCCTTAAAACCCAATAAATGGCCCTCGTGGCGTGGGTTAAAGCACAGCACTAAGAAGCTTAAGCCTCTTCCGCATAAGTTCGAATCCCGCCTGCCCAGGGAGGAGATCCACATGGCGCGGCAGACCTCTCCTGACCCGCCCGCTGCTCCCCTCAGCAGTGTACTTCGTAGATCTGCCTGTTCTGCTCCCCACTCTGTCTCTGGTGAAGCCTCTCACCCTCTGCATCTCTGGCCTGTACCCCAGTTCTGTATGAATAAATAAATAAATCTTTTTTAAAAAAATAAATAATTCAAGTATGGTACTATAAAGGCAAACAAGGAAGAGCTCAAATATCACTCTAAAATCAAAGACATGAAAATAAATGCTGAAAATTATTTACATGGTTGACTATCAGGACCTTTCTGTGGAAAATAGAGTTATTTTAAAGGTGAGCTTGATAATGAAGCTTCAGTGAGTACAAAAGGTGTCGTGTGGTTTTCTTCATCAAACGCTCTTTAGCTCATTTCATTTTTTTCTAAAGATTTGTTTATTTATGCATCCAAAGCTGGGGTACAGTCCAGAGGTGCAGGGGCAGTGAGAGGATTCACCAGAGACAGAGTGGGGAGCAGAACAGGCCAAGTGACAAAGTACACTGCTGAAGGGAGCAGCTGACAGGTCAGGAGAGGTCTGCCGCGCCATGTGGGTCACCTCTGGGGCAGGGATTGAACTCATGCTGAAGTGGCTTTAGCTTCTTAGTGCTGCGCTTTAATCCACTGCGCCACCAGGGAGGGCTTCATTTCATTTTTATTCATAGTAAGCAAATCTTTAAGCCTAGCAAACTTTTTTTTTTTCCAAATCAAAAGGACACTATCTTCAACTTACATATGGTCTTTCAATTAATATTTCTGTGATGAACTCTATGACAAAGTCTTCAAGAACATCCACTGACTCAGTATAAGGATTCTGGTCCTCCCTAAGTCCATGCATAATGTATCCTAATTCTTTAGAAAAATGCTTATTTATCTTACCCTGTCTAACTTCTGCATCTCCTCTAATTTCTTAATTTTCTTCCTCAAAAATGGAGTCTTCTTTCTCATCCACCACCCTACCAATCAGGAGACCTAGTGGTATCAGCTTTCTTGTTCCATGTTTATTTTTTTTCATAGCTTCATAATATTCCATTGTGTGGCAATCTGTAATTTACTATTTGCCATTTAGGTTATTTTTTGGAATCTGTTAGTAAAGTGTTGCTAGGAATATCTTTGTATGATAGTTTATGTCTTATTCTAATTATTTGTCTTGGGTAAGTTCCCAGAAATTGAATTACTAGGTCAAAAGATATGCATAATTTTATGACTTTGGGTACTTACTGCCAACATCTCCTCCAGAGCAAATTGCACCAATTTGCAATTTCACTGATAACTTATGAGTGAGGACATGTGTTTGTTTAAACAAGTATTTGCTGTTTTAAAAGCTCACTGATCTTGTTCAAGCAATTGCTAGTATCCAATTTCCATTTAAGTAATTTTTTGGCTTAATGCATTAGTAAGTCAAGTACCCCCTTTTGGGGTGCTCATGTTGTTACAGGGCACCCCAGTGTGAACTGGGCCGCCTGTCAGTGGAGTCTTCGTGCTTAAAATTCAGTTCCTTTGGGACTTCCTTCCCCTTAACAATGTGATAAAGGAAAAGACAAAGCAGCTCTCTGATTTATTGAGGTGTGTAGTACCCCTCTTAGCTTACAATGCTACAGAAAAGTTAACTAGTTACTATAAAAACAAAAACCTAACTTGAGCATAGGAACTGCATTTAATTGCATAAACAAACATCAAACATCAACTCTAAATAATTTGTTTCCATATTTTCAGTGATAATAAACATTAAATGCATCTTCATTTGAAGATTTCCTAAAAATTTGTTTTTTAACCAAGAGGAAATCAAGATGAAAATTTGAGCTCACTGCTACTTCAGAAATTCCTGATTCTTGGGGAACCTTGGTAAGGACAGAACAGAGACCTGCTTAGGTCATTCATTTAACTTCTTGTCCAAAATGTGATCCTAGATTATATATGTGTTCCCCAAAAGGTGGAGGCATTATCCTGTGTGAGAGCCATTCCTGAAAAACAGAGAATTCCTGCTGAGGAGAACCTGATGGTCATTTTTCACATGTAACAAAGAGAAGATATAAAATTTACCCATGTTAACTTGGAATACGACTGTATTCTACTTTTTTGTTGTCATTGTTGTGTGTCTGTGTGAACATTTTATTTTGAAAATAATTATGGATCCACAGCAATTTACAGAGACATGCATGGCCATCTTGCACACCCTTGACCCAGCCTGCTGAAGACTGGTGGGCCCTCTGGGTCATAAATTCTGCCTACTCCTCAGTCCTACTCTCTTCTTCTATTTTCCATTCATTCACCTTTAAATCCCAAGTGCTTGCTTCAGCTCAAGTGCCATGTCACCTATTGGATGTTGACACTCATCCAATAGGGTGATGAGCATAGATTGAAATGTATGTCCTACATTTGTGATAAAGAGCTCCAGTTCTTCCTCCAGCTCTCTTTTTTGCTGTGGGAAAACCATCTTCAAATGTGTCTGCCTAAGCTCTGATAGTGTTGACTGTATCATTATGGCCTCAATGTTGTGGCCTCAATGTTATGGCCTCAAAGTGTTTTGAGATTCTAAAACTGGGGGGAGAAAATCAGAATATTTCACACCTTAATTAAAAGCCATCACAATTTCCATATAATATGTAGATTTCGAGAAATAGATATATTTACCATCCATCTTCTTTTCAGAATAGTCCTTCTAGAAACGTTCTATATCCCAGAACACTTCTATATCCCACTCACGCAATGTGCATGCCACCAACTGTCAACCTTCTATGAAAAATCCATAATGGGTAGCATTCTCCCTTTTGAACACAGGGGGACCTCCCTTCCTACCAATTATATAATTAGACTTGTTCATCACATATGTATCACCTGATTCTGGGGATTAAATGTAAGAGGCAGTATCTTCCCCGTCTTCAAAACTAGGCAGCTAAGCAGCATAAACATTACAAAATAATCAAGACAGGACAACCACAGCTTGAAGGGAAGGCACAGGGTCACAGCTGTTTTTGAAGAACAGCTCTTAAACCTCTCTATTGAGTGAGGGATAGGCAGGCCTCATTCTTGCTCACTGACCTGGGTTGATGTGGAATACTTTGACCCATTCCAATCTTAGATTGCGTTGAAGAAGACTCTTAGTTCCCTAGTTACAGCTGATGTCCTTCCAGAAAATTATTGCAATCTCCTTTAACAGGTTACCAACCTAAACTCAAATTTACAGGGGAATAGTTTCAGCTTTCTCAACTAATAAAGCTGTTATCCTAATGGCTCAAATGCACATCCCATTTATCACAATAATTTGCATGTAAGTGTGATTTATTCAACAAACATATATTGAATTTTTATATGGATCGGACAATTGCTGGTGCTGTGAATGCAAAGCTATAAAGTGAAAATTTTGCTAGCTAATATAGCAAATATCGAGAACGGTAACACATAGAAACAAAACCTTCTTGTGGTTGTTAATAAATGCGTAAGGGAGTCCTGAAGCCATGATGTTTGAGAATCTCTATTTTTCCTTCAAGCTGAGTAAGAAGGAAAGCACAAGTTCAATATTATGAGTAAGCTTTCACAGCTTATTCATTAGTCCCACAAGTATTTATGGGACAGGCACTGTGCCAGATAGTAGTGATAAAAGCGGAATTCCTTAAAAGAAATAAACATAATAGAGGCAATAGATGAATATCTAGGCCATCCCAGCCTGTATGACACCTTGTCACTGTAATGCTGGTGGTGTCTTAAATCAGACATTTAGTTCAGTCTCAAAAACTCAGGGAAGAATTCCCAGGGAAGCTTAGGATGGTAACCAAAAGGTGGACAGGAGTTGCCAAAAAAAGTTCAGTAGAGAGGTTGATTAACTGCATTGGGAGGAAAAGGAAGTTTCACAGAGGCCAAGATGTCTCAGTGGAATCTCACAGTATTTCTTTTCCAACTAGCAAAGCAATCACATATTCGGTCAAATTTCTCGGTTAGTTTGAAAAATAAAACACCTGTTTCCTTATTAGGAATTTTGGATACTATTTGATCCTTCACAACAAGTGAATATTCTTTCTCTAGGGTTGCAATGCTGTGGCCACAAGGAAACCACACACAAGGAGCTCCAGTCCCTGCTTCCCCAAAGGTGAAGGCATTTGCCACGTGCCATGTGATGTCGCACATGCTGCATCTTTGTTCAATACTTGCCTATTTGGTGTCTAATACGCACAATGTAATTTTTAAAAAATTATTTATACATACAAGAACTGGGGTACAGGCCAGAGGGGGGGCGGGGAGGGAGGGTATTCACCAGAGACATAAGGGGTAACAGAACAAGGGACCCACTGAAATACACTGGAGGGGAGCAGCATCCGGGAGACAAGAGAGGTCTGCTGCACCCTATGGGTCAGCTTCTGGCGGGATCGAACTCGAGCTGCAGTGTCTCCATCGTCTGGCGCTTAAACCTGTCGTGCCACCAAGGAGGGCCCACACACAATTTACTTTTGCAATTTTTTAGCATTATTGATCAAACCCACCAGTTTCTCTCACAAATCCCTCTCGAAAATGATGTCTGCTAAATATAGTCCAGGAGGACCTTGACCTTCACCCTCTACATTAGCCAAGTTTGAACTTCCTAAGAGAGAAACGTCCCAACTCGGGTTCAGAAAAAGGGGTACCAGGGCCCTGGAGAGGCAGCAGATTAGTCATCAGTGGAGCGTTCCGTGAAGTCGTGAGGCGGGGATGTGGGCATTTCTTCTCAGTACAGCGCGTTATTAAGACTTCACCTGTAGAGAGTACTTTCCCTTCGGCACAGTGGTCCAGGGGGCAGAGATAAGAATTCCTCCAGAGTTCACTTAAAGTAGAAAAAAATCTGGTCAATTTTTATGCGGTCATTTCGCACGTCGCCCACCCTACCAGCCTCTCCAGTGAGTACCCGAGTACCCTGCAGGAGATTGGTTTCGGATTGGATAAGATCCCCACCTACCCCACCCCGCGCCAGTCTATCCCCTCCAGAGAAGTACTTCCGGGAGTGGGCGTGGTCGGGGCGGGGTCTAGCCCAACGATAGGCCCCGCCTACCCGCTGTGTCCGCAGAGGCCCGCGCCCGCTCCGCCCGCCAGAGGTCGCAAGCTCTGAGAGCGGGTTTCTCCTCGGCGCGTGCTCGTCCACCTTGGCTCCTAATTCTCGCGAGAGGAAGCGCTAAGCCTGCTGGGAGGGATGCGCGGTGGTCCGTAGGTTTGCCCAAAATGGCAGCCCTGGAGGAGGAATTCACGTTGTCTGCAGTACACCTGAGTGCCGGGCCTGACGGACTCCTAGGGGTGGAGCAGAGCCACAAAACAGACCAGTTTCTAGTGACGGACAGCAGCAGGACCGTCATCCTCTATAAGGTGGGGACGAGAGGCTTGGAGCGCCCCGGCTGCCGTGTCGCCCCGTTCGCGGCGGAGCCGGTGTCCCGAGTTGCTCAGTTTCGGAAAAAGATCGTGGAGTGGGCTTGGTGGACACCCCGTGGGCCTCGCCGACACGCTAGATGAGGCCTAGAATCTGCTCGATTGTTTTCCTGGAAAGAGGCGTCTTTCTGAGCCGCGCGGCCGAACGTCTTAAGTGCACGTGGGCTGGACTCAGAGGGGAAAAGCCTGCTGGCTCTCTCACCTCGCCTCTCCGAGCTGGCCTGGCCACGATCCCGGGGTCTCCATCACTCCGCTGCCCGCAGAAGAGTTGAACGGAGATTGCTTTGGACGTTCGACTGACTGGGTGGCAACGGTGGTTTAGCCATGTGTCCCCTTCTTAGGGAAAAAAAAGTTTTTGTGAGGAGTTTGCCCCTTGCTTTCTGTAGCTTGGATACAGCCTTGTCAGTAAGTGGCCTGTTGCCCTGTACGGTTCATGCTGTAAATCCTGGGGTTAGGCCGTGGAAAGCCACACGTCCCGCCCCCTCTCCAGCCGTATCCCGACTCCGCACACCAGCCAAGTGGCTTTACTTTTAGAGGTCTGAGAAAGGAATCTTTTTTTTTTTTTTTTCCTGGTCTGCCCGACGTAGTTTTCAGTGTCGTTAAGAAACAAGCTGTCTACTTTAAAGTTGATAACACCGTTGAATTTTACCTGTACTGTCAGGTGGGGTTGTAGATTTTGCAGTTTCTGCGTGGGCGTGTATATATATGTGTGTGTATGTATATGTGTATATATATATATATATATATATACACACACACACATAGTGACTGGTTGAATTTGGCATGATCTCATCTATCCCTACTCAATCTCTAGGCACAGTGAAATCAACTGCTTAAATGTACCGTTGTTTGTTAATGAAGTGTTGATTGGCCTTTTTTCGTTTTAAAAGCTTAAAGCTTTGTTTTTGTTTTTTTAACTTTAAACTGTAGTCAGATGCACATAACATTTACTGTCTTAACCAACAGTTAAGCGTATTAAGTAGTCACCTTGTTGCACAGCTATCATCACCATCCATCTCCAGAACTGCAAGATGAATAAGTCTCCATTCCACCACCCCCTGAGAGCCACTCATTCTACCCTGTCTTAAATGGAATCATAGAATATTTGCTTTTTGTGATTACTTTTTTTTTTACTTAAACAGTCAATGTCCAAAACTGATCTTCTGAGTATTGTATGTTATCTTAATTTTGCTAGGTTTCTGATCAGAAACCCCTGGGGAGCTGGTCAGTGAAACAAGGTCAAGTTATAACATGTCCAGCTGTGTGCAACTTTCAGACTGGAGAGTATATTGTTGTACACGATAATAAGGTAAGTTTTAAAGCTTTTATCAAATGTTGATTTACGAACTGTGTTTACCATATATATATATATAGAAATTGAAATGCTTTTTAAAAAAATCCATTTGTTTTGATTTAAGGTTTTGAGAATATGGAATAATGAAGATGTAAACCTGGATAAAGTATTTAAAGCTACAGTAAGTCTTTAAACTTTCCAATATATTTATTTAGCCTATTGGTGAGATGGAATTATTTGCAGTATATATTATTCATGTATTATATTTGTTAAAGTGACATAAAGGTTATAATCATATTTTTGTTCTAGTTGTCTTACTCTGTATCTTGATAATATGTCTCAATTCATGAGGTCGTATGTTAAAAAATAACTATTATCCAGGAGATTGAGGATTTAACTATTGTACAGTGATAAATGTTATACTTGTTTCCTTGTTTAGATATTTTTGGTATGTCCCTTTTGAGAACAGGTGAAATTTCACTGTCCTTTTTTCTTTAATATTTTTAATGAACCATGTAAGTTTCATGCATTATGTATTTCAAGAGTAACATACAATGAAATTTTAAAAAAATCACTAACTGTGCCTTTGCTTCGTATGTTTATATTTCTTTCTCATCATACTAGGATCTCAAAGTACTAGAATAATCTCCAAAGTTCCTTCAAATTTTAAATGTCTAATTCAAAATATAGTTGGCACATTTTAGAAATGGCTCAAAGCTGAGTTAGACATAATGGCAGTTGTTGCCCAAACTCTGGACTTTTCACCATGTGAGGTCTCCTGGCTCCAGTCTTCATTTGCTTACAGTATCACAAGGTTCTGAATTTTATGCAATGATTTTTCTGGGAGGGAGGATTAATCTCATATGCAGTGTCAATTTTTTCTCTTAGGCTTGTCAACTATAGTTGTAATTATGGCATTATTCTTGACCTAATACCAGAATTACTTATCATTCTGCATTAGTGGCTTTAGTTTATACCTCTCCGCACCTCTAGTGCTGGGAGACCCAGGTTGAGGCCTAACCTCCAGTATTTTGAAGGATAAACCAAAAATGGATATAAGTGACTATATGTGGGAGAGAGTACGAGATACAATAGAATGGTTGCAAAAGTTAGGCTCAGATTATGTCATAGATTGGCTTAAAATTAAATCAGATCGCTACCTTAAATATAAGCCTTTTGTAAGTGTCTTGTTAGGTAGCAATTGGTTTAAAATAAAAAGTAAAATATTCTTATGTTGTTTTAGTTGTCTGCTGAAGTCTATAGGATACATTCAATACAAGGGACAGAACCCTTAGTACTATTTAAGGAAGGTGCTGTTCGTGGTCTAGAGGCCCTCCTTGCAGAACCCCAGCAGAAAATTGAAACCGTTATCTCAGATGAAGAAGTGATTAAGTAAGTTTCAGTACTTGTAAGTAAATGCTTACCAAAAGCATTTTGCCTCTTCGTGCCTTTTATAACATTCCTTTACCTTGTTCAAAAGTATTTTGAGTGTTATCTGAAAATGACATGGGTGATCTATCCCACAAGATCAATGTCTTTATCTCTGTCATTGCCCTGACTGCCGGAAAATGTGCTGTTTGTTAGTGAAATCAAGTTTTAAGACCTCTGGTTTCCCAGATTTTGGAATAAAACTTGGGGAAATGACTTAACAGATGATGGAAGGAAATTTCGTATACCACATGTCTCCACTCCCCATCATTTCATCACATTTCCTGTTCAGTTACCTTACTGCCTTTCTAGGTCTACCTGATGCAAGCTAATTTCTGAAAGTCAAAGTGAAGACTTATACTTAGTAAGTGGACCGTGACCAGTATATCTTAAACTGACCTGATGAATGTCTCTAAAGTGTCAGCAACTGTGTTTGGAGGAAATCATTAGGAAAAAAAGAAACAGGTAGAGGATCTGGGTTCTAACCACCACTTTGCCAAAACCTGCCTTTGCAACCTAGTTGTGGGCCCCTGGCCCTCCCTCACCTCAGTGAAATCCTAATGTTTTCCTTAGAACACTAGTCCCAAAATGACTGGGAAAAAAGGTCAGGGGTCAAATCAGTTGAGAAACACTGTTACACTCCACCCTTGGAACTTTGTAATTCACATCAGTGGCTTTAAAACTGTAAGAAATTCTGCAGTTTGTGTTTAATCCAGAGATGCATTTGACAGAAATACCTGCTCATACCCCCTTGTGTATGTTTTGGAACTGAGCGAGGTGTTCTCTGTTGTCTCTCTGGCTCTAAAAAGTATTTAGTAAAAGATAGTCTTTTAAATTGACATTGATGGCAGGTTTCTCTGAGTTAATGACTTGGCATTTTATAATTTTACTTTGGAGAGACAGTATTGCAAAGTGGTTAAGGCCTTGGACTCTAGAGCCCACGTCTCCCAGTTCAGATCCTAGCATGACCCCTGTCTCCCTGTGTCACTGACCCGCTGTGCCCCAGAGGTCAACTGCAGGACTCAGGTGATGTGTTAGTGTATCCTAAGCACCTGATAAACATCACCCACTACCACGGTCATTTTTATCTTTCAGGTGGACAAAGCTTTTCATGGTATATAGGCATCCTGTTTTAATTTATATTACTGAAAAAGTAAGTGTTATCTTCAATTCTTGGTCCATTTTGTAGCATTTCAAAGTTACCTTTATTATATTTAAAACTAAAATTGGGCTTTATTGTTTCAAATGATTTTTTAAATTTTTAATATTAAGGCTCATTATTGTCTCTGTAATTAAATGTTTCTAACAGTTTTAACTAGACAAGAGGTTTTTTTAAGCACTCATGACAAATATAACATCTGGTTTTAACATTTAAATACAATTAGTTGAAATGGAAATGTTTTTAAACTAAAATGTTTTTCTTTCATAGCATGGAGCTTATTTTGCTTATGTACAAACATTTAACTCGAGTGTCTTAAGCAAATACACACTCTTACATGAACAAGAAGAAAAATCCGTTATACAGAGTTTTACTGCATCTGTGGATCGGAAAGTCATTTCTTTGATGTCATTAAGTAAGTTTTTCTTTAAACTCGTAGTGATTGTAAATAGAGAGGTAACTCAGGCTCTTTGCAGTGACACTGTTCTTTTGAGCTACAGTCTTAGGTTTGGCAGTTGTCTCTTGTCTCTCCATTTCCTGTTTCCTTATAAGTATTTATGCCCTTTTTTGCATGTTATCATGTCTGATCATGCATTAGTAGGTCAGTGGTTCTATTCAGTAATTTTTATTTCTTAAAATTTATCATAGTAGTAAATAATGTGATACCTATATAAAAAAGGGAAAATCACCTTTTATCTTTATCATAAGGCTTACATTTTTTAATATAATGAATGAATGATTCATAGAAATAAAATTTAGAGTCTTCTTGGTAGCCTGGGAGTTAAGTCTCAGCTCTATCAAGCTCTCACCAGCCACTGCAGTATGAGTGCAATGGAGCCGACCCACATGGCGCAGCGGACCTCTCCTGTCTCGCCCCTGCTCCCCTCAACAGTGCATTTCCACAGATCTCCCTATTCAGCTCCCCACTCTGGTGAATCCTCATACCCTCACCCCCACCCCCACCTCTGGCCTATAGGCTAATTCTTCTATGGATGAATAAATTTAAAAAAAAATTTTTTTAAAGAAAAGACTGTGAAATGGGATTTTTAAAAAACAACAGCAACATTTAGAAAACATTTCCGGGTAGAACACTGGGTTAAAGTGCAGCACTGTGAATTTAGCTGCAGCCTCTGGCACAGGTTCGATCCCCGAACAGGGAGGTAACCTACATGGCCTGACAGACTTCTCCTGTCTCGTCTGCTGTGTATTTTGTCAGTCTACCTGTTCTGCTCCCACTCTGATGAATCCTTTCTCCACCCCTGCACTTCTGGCCTATACCCCAATTTGGATGCATGAATAAATAAATCTTTTTTAAAAATTTCCATCTTTATGATGGAATTTTTCAATGTGCGTGATTGCAGTGGCTGTTAAGAAGAAAGACATACTATTTTTCATATGTAGAATGTCATTGGAATCCACTTAATACTTTTGCTTAAGAGGGCCTGGTTTGTGGGGCCTCCTTGGTGGCACAGGGATTAAAGACAGCGGCCAAGCTATCTCCAGCCACTGCAACACAAGTTTGATCCCTAGGGAGCTGACCCACATGGTGCAGTAGACCTCTCCTGTCTTGCCTGCTACTTCTTCAGCAATGTATTTCAGTATATCCACCTGTTGCTCCCCACCCTCTCTAGCGAATCCTCTTACTCCCTTCCCCGTACCTCTGGCCTACATCCCAGTTTTTGTGTGCATAAATAAATAAATCTTTTTTTTTTTTTTAAAGGGTTTTTTTGTTTGTTTTTTGTTTTGTGTTTTTAAAGGACTGATTTGTCTTCAAAGTTTTGTTTGTTTGTTTGTTTGTTTGTTTTAAGGTTTATTTATGCATACAGAACTGGGCTACAGGCCAGAGATGCAAGGGTGGTGAGAGGAATCACCATAGAGTGAGGAGCAGAACAGGCAGTTCAATGAAGTACACTGCTGAGGAGAGCAGCGGGTGGGTCAGAAGAGGTCTGCTGAGCTATGTGGGTCACCTCTGGGGCAGGGATCGAACTTGCACCAAAGCAACTTCAGCCAGCTTCGCAGTGCTGTGCCTCCCTTGTGCCACTGGGGAGGGCCCTTGCTTTCAAATTTTAACCGGTAGGGCACATTTATTCTTAAATAGAAGTCTGCAAGTCTGTCACCTTACTGAAGTAAGGAAGTCTGGGTCAAAGGGTCATAAAAGTCTCCTTGTGACATTGCTAGCACCACATGAATTTGCCAAAACACGCTTGACTTCAAAACCAGCAATTTCATATGGTTTTCAGATTGGTTAAGTAACAAGAAATTATTCTAGACCAGAATGCTAATTCATTTCTAACGAGACATAGATCCTCTTAGTGACTGGATTGTAGTCTTGGCAGTCCCATCTCAGTACTCTCAGTCGTTGTATTTTATTTCCTGGTTATATTTTACTGTTATTTTTATACCAGTTTTCCCTCAATTTAAGTTTTGTAGTATATCTTTATGGAAAAGAATATATTGTTGTTAATTTCTGTTGGATCCTTATCAGACTGGTAAATTCTTACAAACAACCTAGTGCATTTACTATAACAGCTATAGGACTGTTCTGTTGCTAACAACAAATAAATTCTTTATTTCCCAACAGGCTCTGATGGGTGTGTATATGAAACCTTGATACCAGTACATCCAGGTAACCAAGAAAAAAGCCGGAAGATAGTTAGGTCACTCTTGCTCAAGGACACAGTGTCCGGGAGTACTCAAAATGGTGCCGCACTCGCCGTCCTGGACCGGGATCACGTGGCCGTCCTGGGCCCGCCACTACCAGCTGCCAAGGGTAACTGCAGTTCAGTCAGAGTCCTTGGGTTTCTCCTTCAAAGTGCCTTTCAGTCTTCTCATTCTTTTTCATGTATTTCTTAGTGCTCTAATTCTCTTCATCACCATACTCGCTTTTGTGGCTTCCTAATGCTCATCTTGTACTATATAGGTCTTTGATTTTTGTCTTTCACTGATCATTCTTACTGAACATGTCCTTGTATCACTACCTTGCTCATGGCTAATGTCTTTTTTTTTTTAAGATTTATTTATTAATATATACAGAATGGGGTACAGACCAGAGGTAAGGGGGTTTAGAGGACTTATCAAAGACAGAGTGGGGAGCAGAACAGGCAGATGGACTGAAATCCACTGCTGAGGGGAGCAGTGGGCAGTCAGGAGAGGTCTGCCGGGCATGTGGCTCAGCTCCTTGGCTGGGGCTCAGTGGCTGCAATAGCTTCATAATGCTGTGCTTGAACTGTCGTGCCACCAGGGAGGGCCCAGCTAGTGTCTGAAGGAAATAAAAACTGCGCATATGTGTACCACCCCACAGGCGAGAGATAAGAACATTGATAAGCCTTGCATAGAGGATTGAAATTCATAATTGGGTGATATCTCACAGAATGGGAATCCAGTAAATTTGGACAGCTTAAAACTTGCGACTACTAGTGTTTGTTTTTTTTTTAATCTCTGACTTGAGAGCAAGAGTCACATCAGTGCCATATTTCCTCCCTCCAAACACCTTTCGGAAAGCACTGACTTGTCTCTCTGAAGAACACAGTTGCTTGTGGCCAATGCAAGATTAGAGTCTCCTAACCTACACTCTAAAACCCAAGATCTGGTCCCCGGTAGGTACAGCAGCTTGGAGCACTATAGTACAAGCCAAGCCTAACCCTGGCGCCGTCACTGGGAGCTCGATCACCACCCAGGAGGTGACCCACATGGCGCAGCAGACCTCTATCTTGCCCGCCGCTCCCCTCAGCAGTGTACTTTGATGATCTGTGTGTTGTGCTCCCCACCCTGTTTCTAGAGAATCCTCTCACCACCCCTGCAACTCTGGCCTGTACCCCAGTTCTGTATGCATAAAGTCTTTTAAGGACCCTCCCTGGTGGTGTAGTGGGTGAAAGCACAGCACTAAGACGCTAAAACCACTTGAGCATGAGTTCGATCCCCGCCCTGGAGCTGACCCACTTGGTACAGCAGACCTCTCCTGACCCAGTAGATTGACGTCGTCAGTCTGCCTGTTCTGCTCCCCACTCTGTCTCTGGTGGAGCCTCTCACTACCACTGTACCTCTGGTCTGTACCCCAGCTCTGTGTGCATAAATAAATCTTTTTTTTTAAATCTTTAAAAAAAAAAAAAACTCAGGGTCTCTCGCTTAGCATTTAAGTCCCATTCACCTCCCAGTTTGTGACCAAGAACCCCTGCTTTTTATAGGAGGGGCTCACAATTGCCTGCAGAAAAGAGCTAGTAGTTTTAGCATAATTATGCTGTGCTAGGCAGTTTACTTACATAGTCTCACTAATTAATCCTCTAGCAACTTAGTGACTAAAGTACAGTTAAAATCCATCTTACAAATCAAAAAACTGAGATATTAGGTAACTAAGTAGTAGAACTCCACGCACACAGGTTTACTGTTACTCCACTTCCCCTATGGGGCTACTGTCCTGGCTCTTACCACCTTACCATGCTGTGCTGCTCCCCTCAATCCCTCCTCCCCCTTCCTGCTTCCTGTTCTGACCCCTCCCCAAAAAAAACCATAATCGTTGCCTGTCTCTTTCTAGACTTGTTTTTCCCTCCTTTTTACACAAATGGTAATGTAACAGAGACACTATTCAACATTATGTATCCACTTAGCTGAGGTGTCATGTGCTCTTCCCATAGCAGCATGTTTTATTATGACTTTATTTCTTTTTTTTTCCAATAATTTATTTTTCCATCATTTTGTGCATTTTTCCATCTCAGTTGTAATCCCCTTGGGCTTCCCATCACCAAATCACCCATGTGCCATCACCAAAGTTTATGACTTCATTTTTCTAGAGCAATTTAAGGTTCACAACAAAATTGAGGGGACAGCACATAGACATCCCACATATCACTGGCTTCCACACATGCCTTCTTATCCTCAGGCCTCTTTCCTTTAAAATTCTGTGTCAATCACTGTCCTCATTACTTGTTTTATTACTTGATAAAAGCGAGACGTGTATTTAATTTTGACGTCCCCCTGCAAACATCCCTAAGGACATGACATACTTATCATGACTTCATATATTTTATTTTGTAGACCGCCTTTCCATATGGAACACAAAATTTCAAACTCTGCAGACTTCAAAAGACTTACCACAAGGCACCAGCCGGCAAGTAAGTTCTTAATGCTTGGCATTTTGTTCAAATATAGCTATTTTTGTGCCCAACAAATATACTGTATAAGGGAAGAGACGCTTGGATTTAATTAAATCTTTCTTACCTGCAAGGTTATATTTAATTTTTTTTTTTTTAATCCTTTTCAAGAAACAAAGTTACAGCTAGGATAGATTGGGGAGAACAATTAGCTGGTTAATAAAATAACTTGTAGTTTACTGCTCTTTGGATCTTGTTACTTCTGTGTTTTGAGCTATAACCTAGGGCCGCTACTTTACCTAATGAATTGCCCTTTGAAGTTATTCACTAAACATTATGGAATTACATAAGACCTCTTAAAGAAAGAAAATTCATTCCATCAGCTCAGACTATAACCTTCCTGAGCAGGGATCTTTGTCAGTCTGTTCTCTGCTGTGTCTTCACTGCCCACAGGTGCTCATTGACTGTTGGTTAGTCAGTGAATACAGAGAAAATGTAAATCAAGATAATTGTAAAAGACTACATTCTCAGCATATAATTTAATTCTAATTTATATTTAAAATAATTTTAACAAAATTAAGCACAATCCCATTTTAACAAGTTTGTTGGGGTTTTTTGTTTTTGTTTTTTCTGTGTTCCTTGAAGCCTTTTTTCATGCCAGTCTTTTACCATCTTTCCATTAGGATCATAAGATATAAACTTCATTTTTTTCACTTAGTGCTTTGTTGCATCAGCCCCACACTGACAAAGAAACGAGAGTCCTGGAGCAGGCTGCATAGTGCAGGACGCTGCTGAAGAGCAAGACCCCGGCCTTGTTATTGATAATCAGCATTAGTCACGTGGGGAAGTAGAAAAGGAAAGGGAGAAGTAGGAGGGGAAGCATGGACTGTACTTCTCATCTGCTGATAGCTTGGTATGTGGACCTAGCCCTGACTCCCCAGTCAGGTTTTCAGTCTTATCAATGAGGCGTCCACTGATCAGCTTTGGGGTCCTTCATTATACATCATTCAGCAGCCCCCTCCCAGCCCTCCTCCCCCCAAGGCGTTCCTGGTCACACCTCTTGATGTACACCCTGCCCAGGGTGATCCAGCTTTGTGCTGTTAATCGATGTGAAAGGTGCCTCACAGGGTTGGGCTTCTATGACCAGCAGTTCTGACCTTGCTTTCAGATACAGAACTGTAGGTGACAAAACGGAGGCTGGATAACAGTTTGCCCATGTTATAATAACTTTGGAGATTATCGTGTTAATAGATGTGATACTTACAATTTTAACTTTAAACAATTCACTTATGATCAGATTTTTTGGAATTGAAAGTATCCTTTAAATTATGCTATACTAAAATAAGAGCTTTGTGAAACTATCCCCAGTTAGTAGATTGTATGTATGAGATTAATCTGGAAAGTTGATGAGCTCTACCTTGTTTTCTTCTGTTACATTGACAACTCAAACCATAAGTTATTGTAAGTTATATGGCTTTGTTGAGTTAGATCCTGAGAAAAGTAATTGCTTACATTTTTTGTGAACTCTTTTTATTGTAGGTCTGGTATTATGGGGAAAATTTGTTTATTTTACATGGAAAATTTCTAGTTGTGATACCTTACAAGTGTGAAGTATCATCATTAGCAGGTGCTCTTGGGAAACTGAAGTATAGTCAAGATCCAGGTAGGTAATAAAATACTTTTATTATCATAAACCATTTTATTCCAGTTTGATATGTAGATTTCCGTCCTTAATTTACAGGGGTCCTCCCTGGTAGTACAAAGGGTTATAGCACTATGAAGACATTAGCAGCCACTGTACCATGAGTTCAATCCCCAGCCAGGGAGCTGACCCACATGGCGCAGCAGACCTCTCTGTCTCGCCCACTGCTCCCCTCAGCAGTGTACTTCGTCAGTTGGCCTGTTCTGCTCTCCACTCTGTCTCTGGTGACTCCTTTTATCTCCCTGCACCTCTGGCCTACACCCCAATTCTTGTATGCATAAATAAAATAATTTTTTTTTTTAAATGTATAGGGCCTGTTTTAATTTGCCTGTGTTCATTCGAAATCTCCTTACCCAGGGAGGTACCTTCCATCAGTCTACATTACAGTTGCTGCTATAGGCAAAGAGCTATACTGCTTTGTTTTGGGGTAGCTCCCCCCCCCCTTTTTTTTTTTTATCATTTCAAATGAGTTGGCTTAATCCTAGTGGTACAGAATTTGGACAGAACAAAGATTGAAGAAGAGCACATTTTGGCAAATTCTGGTTTGGTTTGGTTTATGCTGACCTCATTGCTAAAGTGCCACTGTATGATTTTTGTTTGCTCATTTGTTTTTAAAAGTTTATGAAATACACATCAGGATATGAGACACTTTATTCCAGCTATTGGTGGCAGCAGACGTTATGGAATGGAATTAAGGACGATCATTGCCCATAGGCACAAGAAACTGCTTAGTTTTTGCTAGCTTTCTTACTTCCTCCTGTGGTTGGGCCCTGTCCCGTCCCCCCCCCCCCCCCCGTGACCTTCACTTTTAACTCCTTAGGTTTCTCCTGCTCTTCTTTCTTTTGGCTTCAATATCTTTTCTTCCTCATCCATCTTCTCAGGCTGCTTTAGGGGCTTCTTGCCAGCCCCAGGCCCCACCCTGCCACCAACACTGTTTTTGAACACAGGTGCTCTGTCTCTCGTGAGAACAGGGGGCCCTCTAACCCCACCCTCAGGAAGTCTCTACACTCATCCATCTCTTGACTTAATGTTGCTTTTACTGTGTTACGGTTTATTGATCTCAGGTTATCAGAATTAAGTGGGATTTAGAGCCCTCTTGAATTGTGCATGAGTTACAGTGTTTTATTGATCTTTGATTTTAGTTGGGTAACTACCAGTAACTCCAAAAGTTCCAGAAATTGTTTATTTTGTTTTCATAGGCACTCACGCCATGTCTCATTTTGTAAACTGGGAAGCATCTCAAGGATTCGGAGCTGGATCCCAGGACTCAGAGCAATCCAAGAGAATTGTAAGTTTGGTAGTCAGAATGTTGGTGCAAATGTTGAAAAACAGAAAGACTGGATTATTTTAATGATTCTTTCTGTACAACTCTTACAGCTTTGATCTAAATGATTGGACCATTTGAAATGAGCCTCGTAACCAACAATCTATTCAAAATGAGACACAGTCATTTTTTATAAGGAGACTAGAGGGGTGTGATTTAGATTTTGAAATGAAAATTAACCAGTTTGCAATAATAATTCTTTTCTGGATGTCAAGATGTTTGCAAAACAAAAATCCTAAAAATACTTAAATTAGAAGTTGAAATAAATCCACTCCTCATTATAACGAAATTATGACCGCCAAAGATTTTCATTATGACAAAAGTGTGCTAGTCTTTTGGACCTTCTTGGTTATCTAATTGTGTATGGGATCTTTGTGTTGTTTTTGACCCTAATGAGTTTACTTAATTCCAGTTAAGGAGAAGAAAAGTTGAAATGAGTACACAGTCAGAGGTTCCAGTGTCTACACAACTTTTATCAACCATAAAGGTAAATTAAAAAAAAAAAAACAAACACTTTAGAAATCAACTCAGATGGTTAAAAGAAATTCATGTGCTTTTCATGCCATCTTATTTTTAATGATCACTTTTATGGCTTTTAATAGGCTGACATTTGATGTTGTCTTAAGGCTGTCAGATTCGATTATCTGATACACTTTGGCATATTGACGCACCAAGTATTTTGTGAGATCAGTGTGGTGGTGGTGGTGAGCTCTTCAGTGTTACTCAATTTTGCATTAACTATGTAGTTTTTTTTAATGTTTATAATTTAGCCTTCTATATTATAATTGTAATTATAATTTGTAAATATAAATTGTAAATATAATTTGCAATTTCCAAACCTTGGATTTTTTCTCTCTTTTTAAAGATTTTATTTATTTATGCATACAAGAACTGGGGTGTAGGCCAGAGGTTGGGGTGGGAGTGAGAGGATTCACCAGAGACCGGGGAGCAGAACAGGCAGATTTACCGGAATATACTGCTGAGGGAAGAAGCAGGGAGACAGGAGAGGGCTGCTGTGCCGTGTGGGTCAGCATCCTGGCCAGGGATTGAACTTGTGCTGCAGGGGCTGGCAGCAGCTTGCTCACACTGTTTTTAACCCCTGGGCCACCAGGGAGGCCTCAGTTTTTTTTCTGTGCAGCTTGTCCATGTACAACTTGTAGCATCAACTCCAGCTTCACGAGTGTGTGAATACTATTAGCAATTGAGAAAATGTTGAGCTCTAGAAGCTTTTTAAGTTCATAGTGATGTTTGATAATAGCAGACTAGAGCCTTTACCTTGCCCTTTCAGAAAGATAATGAAAAGCACATTGAAGTAGAACTACGTAAATTTTTGGCTGCTAAACGGACCCCTGAATTTTATACTACTGTCGGGGATGTGGTAATAGGACTAGTGGAAAGATGCAAAGCAGAACCATCCTTTTATCCCCGGAACTCTGTGATGCAGCTTATCCAGACACATGGGCTTTCTTACAGGTACGTGTTTGGGCCCACCAGATTGCATTTGCCTCTCCCTTGACCGTGTTTTTCACAGTTCTAGTTTTCATAATCTAGAGTCACTTTGTGCATTCTTTGCAGTTGATATTTCTTGAATACTTAAAGATGGCTCATTTCTTATTGACCTAGCTTGTGCCCTGGCCTAATGGAGGTTGCCTTAGAAAAGACAGATGTGCAGGTGCTCCAACTCTGTCTCCAGCAGTTTCCCGACATTCCTGAATCAGCCACGTGTGCTTGCTTGAAACTTTTCTTGAGGTAAGTTAGAAGTTGGTGGCCCTCTTTTTGACTGCAATTTTACCGCATTGTATCATTTGATTTCAACATCTTTGAATGCTCAGAAAATGAATTTTTTTTCCAGTAAGTTTAAGTAGTGGTAAGAATAAATTTCTTGCTTTCAATTGACATTCCAGTGTCAGTGATGATAGTCTTCAAGAAGCAGATGTCAGTATGGACTCCGTGTCTGACTGCAGTGATGCTGTGCATGATGAGACGATGGAGCAGCAACCTGGAATTCTTCAAAATGGTTTCAGGCCGGAAGACAGCAACTGTAACAACTGTGAAAAGCATCAGGACACAGGAGATGAGGCCACCTCATGCCCTGTCACACCGAAAAGAGCAGCTCTCCTGTATCCTTCAAAACAGTTTCCCTCGTGTTGTCTTATTCCAAGGATCTGGGCAGATGTCAAGCAATAACCGAAGAGTAACCGGCAAGGGACTTTTCTGTTCTCAGCTTCTTCTAAAAATTAATTATGTTCAGTGCCGTATTCAAATAGCTTGCATGTTCCTGTTTCCTTAATTAAGCTACACTCAGATAGAAGCTTGATCAATTATTTAGTGAATATTGTGATGAAGTACTAATTATTTACTTAGACAGTGAAGTACTCCAGGCGATCTCTGGTCACTAACATGTTCCGTGAAGCAGCTCTCCTAGGACAGTAAAACTTGTGTGTAAATTTAGAAAAAGATCATTCAAAAAGGAAATTGCTCATAATTTCAATAGAATGTGTTTTATTTATTGAAATGATGTTTTCCTTTAGTCCTAAGTAGAAATGTAATTCTTCGTGCCGCATATAGTGAGGCATTTCTTCTGCCTCACTTGAAAGACATCCCAGCACAACACGTCACTGTAAGTGTCCCTCTGGAACCTGTAGAATGTTACTTGTGACTTACAGTTGGCTGCTTAATTCTAGCCACCTTTTAGAACATTCAAAAGACGCTCAAGTTTCTTAGTGTGAGCAAGAGTTTCCTAACCCTCGGGGTGAAAGATTGTGCCTAGGAGACCAGTAGGTTTGGTGGCAGACCTTGGGGTGTGTTCGTGGTGCCCCCCCTGAAGCCAGGTCGATCCATCTAAGTTAGAAACAAGTAGAAACTTAAGAATTTGGGCCCTCCCTGGTGGCACAACAGGTTAAAGTGCAACACTACAAAGCAAGCCGCAGCCTCTTCAGCATGAGTTCAATCCCCAGCCATGGCGCAGCAGACCTTCCCTGTCTTGCTTGCTGCTCCCCTCAGCAGAGTACTTTGTTGATCTGCCTGTTCTGCTCCCCACTCTGTCTCTGGTTCTGTATGCATAAGTAAAGAACCTTTAAAAAAAAAAAAAGAAAAAGAAACTAAAGAATTTCTGAGAGAAGGTATTTCTCTTCTCTCCTTGTTTATAAACTGAGTAAGCGCCCCATCTACTCCTCAAACCAGATGCATTTCTTATCGATCATAGGGGTAACAGTGTACTCATTTTTGTGTCACCTGAAGTCTAGCATCTGTTTATTGAATCCTCCTAAAAAATCCTTTCCAGTGTCTTTGTTAGCCTATATAGAATGAATGTTTCAGAGTTACATGAGTTAACAGAGTTGTCTCTTTCCACCCAGCTATTTCTCCAGTATTTGTATTTCCTTTATCTGAAATGCAATGAAAATGCTACTATGACTCTCCCTGGAATACATCCTCCAACCCTCAATCAGGTGAGGTCATCTTTTTACTTTGATCTTGTGCAGAAAAACAAATCTGTAAAACGTGGTTATCAACAGTCTCAGAACCTGGGGTTCAGTAGCTGAGTTCTACTTGTCTCCCCACCCATATAGACTGATCTCTGCAGGAATGAGGGGCTCTCAGTGGGGTAGGTGGGCTTGAGGATCATAACTCTATCATAGACCAAACTGAAATTCATCTCAAATTCCTGACTATGATGGTCCTTTCCAGGCTTTGCCTGGGAAAAGGTGTTAATAAGTATCCTGATAATGTCTTAAGACTAACAGAAGGAAGATTAATGAAAAGATGTCATCATACGCCCATTAAATAATACCAAATTTATTGGCCCTGAATCAAGGCCAGCAGTTTGCTGAAGCTGTTGGTTTCAAGCAGGAGCCTAAAGAAATGTCTTTCTATGGTCTGTTGGCCTTTTCACAACTTGGAAATGTAATGGCCAATTCATTGGAAAGAAACATCTGAGTGAAGGGAAAAAAATTACAAATTAATTTGAAAAAGAATTGTAAACATTATAAAATCTTTAATTATGGTTGATGAATGTGTTATTCTAATTATTTCAAGCCTTTATTTTCCATTTTGAAAAACAAGCTAAAAGTTTTTAAGTGCCCTCCCTGGTGGCACAACGGGTTAAAGTGCAGCACTATGAAGCTGTCATAGCCACTGCAGCTCGATTTCGGTCCCTGACCAAGGAGGTGACCCACATGACACAGCAGACCTCTCCTGTCACTCTCAGTATATTTCAGTAGCTCTGCCTGTTCTGCTCCCCACTCTGTCTCTGGTGAATCCTCCTTTCCTCCCCACCTCTGACTTGCCCCTTGGTTCTTGTATGCATAAATAATGTAAATCTTTCTTTAAAAAGTTTGACTTTTATAGTTGGAAGTTTCTTTATAGTTGGAAGTTCCACTAATAGCAAAGAAGACAAAAATAAACTGTACATCCCTCTTAGAGATAACCAGTATCAAGTTTCTTTCATATCTAGAATTTTTCTTTTTTCTTTATTCTTTTATTAATTTTCTTTTTTAAAGAAAGAAATTTCTCTATCTCTAAAATATCCACACTTTTATAGACTTTTATTTTTTTCCTTAAAACTTTATGGACTTTATAAAATGGATTAACCTGAAAAAAACAATTAAAATCTTAACTTCTCCTTTTCCTGTTTATCTTCAGATCATGGATTGGATATGCCTACTTCTAGATGCTAATTTTACTGTTGTGGTGATGATACCAGAAGCAAAAAGGCTACTCTTAAATCTTTACAAATTTGTGAAATCCCAGGTTTGTGATTATTGATGCATACTGGACTCTTTGTGCTCAGATAGCACCGAAATCATAATTTGTTCTTAACATTTTTTCTTGCAGAAGTTGTAAAGAAGTGTGGAGGATTTGTTTATATGTAAACATTATGGTAAAAGTTCTTCTAAAACTTTTTTCTTAGATTTGCATTTGTTCCGAACTCAACAAGATTGAAGTAAGTTTCCGAGAACTACAGAAATTAAATCAAGAGAAGAACAATAGAGAATTATATTCCATTGAAGTGCTGGAACTCTTCTGAAACTACTAATTCTCCTTCACAGATGTTTTATGAAGCTCTTTTATGTGAATTCTTACTACTCATGCAGTCAAGAGACAGGTTTGGGTTATGACTGTCTCGGTCTCATGAGAAATGAGTGTCAGCCAGTCCCTGGCCGTCCTTCCTGGCACCTGTAGGCCGGACTGCAGGTTCCCCGGGGCCTTCCCTGGGGTGTGGACATTGGTGGGGACAGGTTCCAAACTTTTTTAAATATGTAACAGAGTTAATTTTAAGTAAACTTATTTGTGTACTGATAAAAGTCTAATTTTTATTGTGTGTTTTTAATAACTCTTAATAAAAAAAAAATCTACTAGTGGAGCAGTTAATGCTAAGAAGATTGTAGTTCATTAGAATCAGAGCGGCCCCAGCTTCCCGCGCTGCTGAGTGGCGGCCGAGGTCAGTGCGGCAAGCCGGGCGGGCAGGGCCTCTGGGACAGGGCGCAGGGCGGGCTCCTGTCCAGCCTGTGTGCGGAGCCCAGGGGGGAACGGTGCCTCGTTTATATCTTCCCTCCAATTAGATGGGTGGGTGATTTCTGTTTCAAAGGGGCACTTCCAAGTAGTGAAGTTTTCTGAAAATAGTTTTATGGGTTGATTGACCATCAGCTTCCCAGCTTTTAACTCTTGGAATGTAGTCTGCGTAGATCCTCTGTCTCTAGTGAATCTCCTTACCTCCGAGCCTCTGGCCTCCACCCCAGTCCTATGCATAAATAAATCTTTTTAATAAGTGAAAATTTGATAAGGACATACAGAGACGTGTGCTAAACTCTTCGAGGCAAGGACTGTGTCTTATCCTTTCTACACACTATACACGGGCCCTCTGGCACATACTCGTGTTCAGCAAAGGACTATTGAATGAACTTCGTTCTCCGTTATCATTCAGTGATAATTCTGAGTTTTCTCCCTTTCAGTAGGGTGTCATTTTCTAGAAAGTGAATCCTTTATTATATTTGTTCAAGTATAGGCAGTGTTTTATTTTTATAACAATAAAATCTATCCCAGAGTTGCTCCTGATGACCAGTACTTTATATTACAATAATAAAAGAGTTGCTCTTTAAACCTAAGGTCTCTACCTAGGCAGTGATTTCTGCTGTGGACTTCATGTTGGAGGAAATGTGGAAGAACAGGTTATCATTACTAAAGATTAGAGGTTAGTTTCTTTTTTGCCTTGACATTCTCTGTAAATATCTGCTGACTGTATCCATTCTAGATCATGCTTAAAATTTTAAAACAAAGATGGACTACTTGTCCTAGCTATTTGTTTTCAAAATTTTAATCCCAAAAAGTTGCAGGAGGAAGCAGGACCTAAATTTACCTATTAGTGACATCTTAACCATGTTTGCTTTACCACTCTTTTTCCTCAATCATTTGAGCGATATTTGCAAACAACCAGATTAATCCCATAATTTCGCTAATCCCATAAATTCTTCCGTTCAATTCTTTAAAACCATTCTTTCATGTGACTGAAGCAGTTAACAAATGCAAGTTGATGTCAATACTGTATTATTACCTAGGGTGATGAACTCCTTATTCAGACTGCCACAGTTGCCCACTAAATTTCTTTGATAGCTGGATTCCCTCATCCCTGCTCCCAAAATGGCTTCAAGGATTATCCATTGCGTTTAGTTTTCATGTTTCTTTCACCTTCAAAACAGTTCCCTAGAGTAAGGCGCAGCACTGCTGGCGAGCCGCAGCGCTTCAGTGCAGGTTCAATCCCCGGCCCCAGAGGTGACCCACATGGCGCGGCAGACCTCTCCTGACCTGCCCACTGCTCCCCTCAGCAGTGTATTTCAGTCAATCTGCCTCTTCTGCTCCCCACTCTGTCTCTGGTGAATCCTCTCACCCCCCCCCCCCCGCACCCTAGTTCTATATGAATAAATCTTTAAAAAAGAAACTTCCCAAGATAACTGCATTTCTGAAAAACTTAGGTCAGTTACTTTACTACCTGCCCCTCAACTTTAATTTGCCCGATTTCCACATGATTACCTTCAGCTTCAGCGTTTGGGAGAAGGAGGGCACACAGGCGGCACCCAGTAGGTCGCCCTAGCAGTGGTATTGTGAGTTGAGCCGCTTGGCTAAGGCACGCGCACGCGTGCTAGATTGCGTCACTCTGACCCTCCCTTACCCTTTGTACTTTGTAAGTAACCTGTGGCCATCTTTAGGACTGTGTGGCCACTCTGTTCTGAATATTCTTCCCCAACAATGGCTTTAGATCCATTGATAGTTCTGGCCTGAATCATAGCGGTGGTAACTGGTGATTCAGTTCTAGAGCCCCTCGTTAAGAAGTATTTTACTGAGTTATTTGCAAGCATCCAACAACAACAATACAGAGCTGTGCTTACACTCTACTGGACATTCATGGTAAAATGCACTTTTGATATGCTGCCCATCTCCTGAGTCTTTTGCGCGTCTAGTCTTGCTGTGAGGGTCCGGTCCCCATGTGGATGGCTGCTGATGGACAGGGTGGCGGTGGCTGAGGTTGCAGTGGCTGTAGCGATAAGACCCCGAGGAAGGTTGCTCCAGTAGTTGCCTCTCAGCAGTTTTTCTGAGCAGTCTAAGGAGAACAAAATGCACCACCCAAAATAGGTCTCTTTGGCATGTTATTTTAAGCAGGTTACTTCTAAGAAGCCACAGACATCGGAAAAGCTCTGAAAACCAAGACTAGTTTCTCTTTCCTGAGACTTCCATAAAGTCCCTGCAAGGGTACTTCCCTCTCGACCTGGAGTAGAGGATGGCCACGTGGCCATAAGTCACCCACGAAGGAAGAACGACTTGCACGCTAACCAGTGACCTTACCGACAGGCATGTGCTTTTTCTGGTAACCCCCCACTGGCTCCTGCACCCCAGCATTTTCCTCTTTAGCAGCTGGGATTTAAGGCAGTGGCTTAGGCGTTTCAGAGTCAGCTTTCTTGGATTTCTCCCTTGTGTACCACAGTTCCTACACTTGCTTGTTTTTCTCCTGTTAATCTGTCTTACTGGGAGTGTCTCAGTCAACTAGAAAGACAGAAAAATTACTTTTCCTTCCCTACCACCACCTTCTGTGCCCGTGAAAGCACTCCTCGGCATTTTGTCTCATTCGTTTTCTCCCAGAAAACTTCGCTATCTGGAGTCCCTGTATGTTACTTACTGAACTGTTTTGGGGTGCTTTTGCCTCTCTATTTAAGCTCCAGGGGAAATGGGCCTTATTTCTGTCTCAGACTCTACTGAATCCCAGGCATGTAAGTCAAGGCTTCCTTTGGTGACAGCCAGAGCCTCAAGACGCAGACATCGATGGAGACGAAGGAGAAACTTTTAGGATGGAGGCCAAAAACTGCAGGGAGCGTTGATAAAATACATTAACAAAGTTGTTAATCCAGCTACAGTAACGAAAAGTCCTGAAACTCAGATTGCTATATAGAAAAAGCAGACACTATAGAAAGTAGATAGAGAAGTATAGACCAGAGGTGGAGATATGGAGATGGGGGCCATTGTAGAGAATTAGGGGTCCTTACAGATCAACCTAGCCACACCCTGGAAGTAATTAAGGTAGCTAACAAAGGAATGAACTCCCAAAAGTGAGCTCTAGAAGGGTTAAGATTTCTGCTCTTGGGCCCTCCCTGGTGGCGCAGCGGGTTAAAGCACAGCACTAAGAAGCTTAAGCCACTTCTGCATGAGTTCGACCCCCTGCCCCGGAGGAGATCCACATGGCGCGGCAGACCTCTCCTGACCTGCCTGCAGCTCCCCTCAGCTGTGTACTTCGTCGATCTGCCTGTTCTGCTCCCCACTCTGTCTGGTGAATCCTCTCACCCTCCGCATCTCTGGCCTGTACCCCAGTTCTGTACGAATAAATAAATAAATCTTTAAAAAAAAAATATTCTGCTCTTGAAAAGCGGCATCTCTCTTCCCGGACAGCCTATCTGGCGACTACAAGTGTAGTTTATTTTCTTCTTTTCCTCATAAACCTGCCCTTTTGGATATAGCCAAAAGTCTTTGTCTTGTGAAAAATTTGGTCATATGCCACTGGGGGGAATTCCAGTGAGATTTCTCAGGGGTAACCTAAAGACCCTGCTCACTGAACCTGACCCCTGTCAGAACCTCAGTCATGAAGTTGTTGCCTTTCTCTGCCATCAACAAACCACCAAGCAGCTCAAGTACCAGTGACCCCCCTTGGCAAGCTGCCTGAGCTAGGTGCCCCTCGCTGCCAGAAGTACTATTTCAATGAAGGGAGAGGGCTCTTCTTTTTGATGTGAGGTACTAAAAAACAAAATGCAATTACATGAATTTAAAGATGTGCTTGTCTTCATTAAACAATTCATGAACTGGGTGATGTCCCATCCTGAGGTTGGACAATGGAAGGTGTTGCTATTCAGAAAGAGTGGGATGAGATTTTTCAGCCAAAGAAATCTTTTCAGGCCAGGTTCCTTTTCCTGAGGAAAGGCAATTAGATTGCCTGGTCATGATGTCATTTTGGAGCAGTGTGGCATTCAGCAAGTGGGGTGTCTGGTTTACCTTAGAAAAGTTTCAGTGGAGTTCCCCTTTCGAGCAGCACATGGTGAGTTTCCCAGGAGACAAAAATGCACAGACACAGGCAAGAGAAGATTACATTTTAGGATAGGTTTATTAGGAAAAGGAAAGAAAAAGTCAGCAGGGGTAAGGGGTGGTGCATCCCTGGTGGTGCATGCAAAGGGTTAAAGAACAGCACTGTGAAGCTGTCTGCAGCCACTGCAGCGCAAGTTCAAGTTCCAGTTTGACCCCCAGCCCCGGAGCTGACCCACATGGCGCAGCAGACCTCTCCTGTCTGGACCGCTGCGCCCCTCAGCTGTGTGTTTTACTTGATCTGCCTGTTCTGCTCCCCACTCTGTCTCTGGTGGATTCTCTCGCCCCCTGCACCTCTGTCTGGCCTGTACCCCAGTTCGATGTGCATAAATAAACAAATCTTTAAAAAAAAATCACAAGGGGCAGGAAGGCTGCCTCCTGCTTTGCAAAGGGAAAAGCGGGACGCTGTCACCTGAGGCAGGAGCTCTGCTTCTTGCCGGTGCTGAAATTATACCGACCCAGTGTTCTTTGGGGGAGGGGTTCACTCCTGTGTGGAACTGTTAGCTACTGGTGAAGTATTTGCTTCCAGGGTGCGATTAGGTTGGTCTGTCAGGACCCCAGAGTCTAGAATGGAATAGCCCCCCCTCACCATATTGCCCCCTGTGGTCCACACCTCCCTATCCTTGCTTCAGCGTCTGCTTTCTCTAAAGCAGCCTGCACCTAAGAACTTCTC